ATGAACTCCAAGATGGGGAAAGGGACATATCTACTTGACAAAGAGCATCTTCCCCTGAGGCCAGACTTTAAGGACAATGAAGTTGTCATGGATGCCTCCCATCCAACATGTGCAGAAGCCCAGGAGAAGAGAGAGAAAGCAAAGGCAGAGAAAGTAGCTAAGCCAGCTAGTGCTCCAGATGCTTCACATGTGATCCTAAAGACCAAATAGGATCAACTCAGCTATCTATTGAGGCTACTTTGAGGATTGAGAAGGGATTGGCCACCCTGACTCAAAATCAAGAGAGTCTTGAAAGGATCATTGAGCAAAAGATTTATAATTTAGATGTGAAGGTCACTGAGATCCAATCAACTATGAAGAAGATCCAAGAAGAGTTTGAGGACAAGGAAGAAGGACCAACCATATATGCTTTTCAGAAAGTGCCTAGGGCACAAAGGTTTTCAGTTGTGCTAGTTGCTAGTGATCCCAGGTCAACAAAGTCAGCACCTGCAGCAACTGCTCCAGTGATTCCTCCGTTCTCAACTCCTCCATCTCCACAAACTTCTACAGATGCTTTTGTTAAAGGACTCCTCTCAACGCCATCTATGCACACCGGAGCAACCAGCCAAAAGACCCCTTCAGAAGCTCCCGGAGATCGTGCCTGGAGTGTTGTATAGCACTATGCATTTTCAAGCTTTTTGGTAACTTGTTGCCAAAGGGGGAGAAGATGTATAGATCATTAGGCTTCGAGAGAGAGAGAGAGTTTTGTCTTTTGTTGCCTCTCTTGCTACTTAGTCATTTTTGTTTGATCGTTTGCATGCTACATTATTTGTGCTTGTGTGTGAGATACTTATATGATCATGTGTTTGATCATATTATGCTTAAATGTTTGCTTGCTTGATGATATGTATATGACCAATCATGTTTGCCCTTGGTGATGAGTACATGTTTTTTTATATATTATCATTTTGAGCGCTCCACCAAGATGTATGTGACATGGAAGAGTAACCCATGATCCTAATCGATTATGCATTTGCATTCAAAAGCAAATTTTAAATAATGCACAAATTTAGGGGGAGCTATTGCCTATCACATACTTCTCAAAGCGACGATGTATTTCATTAATATTATCATTTGGCGCGGCTTTGATCTATATGTTGTCATCAATTACCAAAACGGGGGAGATTGAAAGTGCAACTAATCCCCGGGTGATTTTGGTAATTCATAACAACATATAGCTCATTGAACTAATAAGCATTCAAGTTAAATGTTTCAAAAAGTTCAATGGTTGGCATGGCATGGACTACAGATGTGGACCCCTCAAAATGCTAAGGACAAAGATTGGCAAAGGCTCAAGACTCTTCACTTTTCATTTTAGTGATCCAAGATCACATTGAGTCCATAGGAAAGCCAATACTATCAAAAGGGGATGAGGTCTTGCTTAATGGTCTACTTGCTCAAGTGCTTAGTGATATTACTCCAAAACCCTCAGCCACTTTCTCATTTCCACATATGTCCAAAACCTGAAGTCAAACTCGGCCCCACAGATTTGATCTATCCGGCGCCACCGAGTTCACTTGACATAGCCATAGCCAGAAACCCTAATCAATTCGGTCACACATATACGCCTCTCGGTCTCACCGAGATGGCTTTGCAAATTCTTTGTTTCCCTTCGTAACATTTCGGTCTCACTGAAAGGAGCGACCGGTCCCACCGAGTTCGCATTGCAAACTCTCTTTTTCCTTTTCGTAACATTTTGGTCTCACCGAAATGAGCGATCGGTCCCACCGAGTTTGCTTGACCAACTCTCTGTTTGATTAATTGCTGAAATCGGTCTCACCGAGCTCAAGCGATCGGTCTTACTGAGATGAGGTTTTTCCCTAGCCCTAGCACATCGGTTCCACCGAGTTGATCATGTCGGTCCCACTGAGATTCTGAATGTTCACATTTTGAATCAAATCGGTCTCACCCAGTTCTTCTATTCGGTCTGACCGAGTTGGGTCAAATGTGTGTAACGGTTAGATTTTGTGTGGAGGCTATATATACGCCTCCACCCCTTCTCCATTTGAGAGAGAGAGCCATCAGAACGTGCCTACACTTCCACTACTCATTTTCTGAGAGAGAACCACCTATTCATGTGTTGATACCAAGACATTTCAATCCTACCACAAGAATCTTGATCTCTAGCCTTCCCCAAGTTGCTTTCCACTCAAATCATCTTTCCACCATAGTCAAATCTGTGAGAGAAAGTTGAGTGTTGGGGAGACTATCATTTGAAGCACAAGAGCAAGGAGTTCACCATCAACACACCATCTATTACCTTTTGGAGAGTGGTGTCTCCTAGATTGGTTAGGTGTCACTTAGGAGCCTCAGTCAAGATTGTGGAGTTGAACCAAGGAGTTTGTAAGGGCAACGAGATCGCCTACTTCGTGAAGATCTACCAAAGTGAGGCAAGTCCTTCGTGGGTGATGGCCATGGTGGGATAGACAAGGTTGCTTCTTCGTGGACCCTTCGTGGGTGGAGCCCTCCGTGGACTCACGCAACCATTACCCATCGTGGGTTGAAGTCTCCATCAACGTGGATGTACGATAGCACCACCTATCAGAACCACGCCAAAAATCTTCGTGTCTACATTGCGTTTGCCCTCTCCAAACCCTTCCCTTTTACCTTCATATGCAATGTTTTACTTTTCGCTGCTACATTCTTAGAATTGCATGTGTAGGTTGATTGCTTGACTTGTGCTAAGTTGCTAAAATCTACCAAGACTTGAAATTGGGAAAAGGCTAGATTTTTATTTGGTCATGTAGTCTAATCACCCACCCACCCCCCTCTTCTAGACATATTGTCGATCCTATAGCCCGGAACGTAGTTTGGGCCAGGCTCGGGCTTCTCCTTTTCTATATTTTGGGTCGGGCTTTCGGGCTTCGGGTCGGGCTTGCACGTGTGTACACTAGAAAACAATGTTCGGGCCGGGCTTTCGGGCTCCTAGCTTGAAAACAGAGTGTATTTCGGGCTTTGAGCCGGGCTCGGGCTTGAGAAAGGAAGAGTCGGGCTTTTACAAGCCCGACCCGAAACCCGGCCCGACCTGGTGTTTGTTTATAGCCTGCGTACGATCACTATCGAGGACTTCAGGCTACCAAATGGCCCCTTGCATGGGCTCTTGGCGGCATCGTGACCTTGTTGATGCCAGCGGGCGTGTCCTGGCCCGCTCCTCATATACGTTGTATGCCCATTTTGTGTGATGCCCATATCAGGGTTGTGAGCGTGTATGACTGGTGAAGCATGGCAATCTTGTTTGCAATGGTGACTCATGCTTTGATAGTGGGGGCGACGGTGACTTAAGTTTGGTGGTGCTACTGAGCACAGGGTCTCGAGCTCTGGAGTGAAAACTCTAGGTCTGACTGCACTGGTTCTACCTGGCAATGGTGGTGTTCCACATCATAACCTTGTTGGAGGCATTGTCTTGACTTTGCTCGTACTTCTTCTTCCGGATGAACCCAAGATCATGTTGGATCTCGCGACGACGGCGCTTGTGCGTCGTTCTTGAAGTCGTCGTTACTGAAGCACTTTTCCCACAGTTCGGGTGTTGTGATCGGTGGGGGTTGTTGAAGCACCATTCGCACTATGCGGGTGCAGTAATTGATGTGGGTTGGTGTTGATGGTGTTGGTTGCTAACGCATGCTTGAGCTACTTCGGCAGGGCTATGCATGCTTGAGCTGCTTCGCTTTTGGAGGTTGCTTTTTTTTCCTTTTTTTTTTGTATATTCATGTTAACTATGTGCACTTAGTTGTGCAGAGGCCAGGTGTGTATTCTTGATGATTGTACTCTCTTGATACAACATTACAAGTCAATAAAATCCATCCTTTATTGAAAAAAGAAATATCCAACTATTATTCACTAAGTGTGCATTTTGGTTCGAATAACAAAGTTGAACCGAAAGGCAAACTATGTGCATCACATATGGTTAAAATGGTTCTCGTATTTTTCTTCGTCAATAAACAAAACAAAGATAATTTCACCTTAAGCAGCTTGAAATATAACATTGCACAGGCCCCGGTTCGTAAATTGATTGAAGTTCTTAATTTTGACAGTTCTTTCTCTACTTAAAACAAAACCAAAAGAAGAGAGAAGGGAAGTGATTCTGGATCTCTATTTTCTTTACAACTGTTGCAGGTTGTTGACGATTGAAAGATTAGTAGTGCATGTCTGTAGTTTACACCTGGAGGGGACCTAGCATCAAGATTTGATCCGGAGCAAGGATATCAACATAGCTCATCCTCGGCTTGCAATTTTTGGAGCGCCTTTTTCGCATAAATAGTTATTGCAGCAGTGGAAACTGCAGCAACCGCAAAGCCAATTCCATTGTAGATGATCTGATCCACTGACAAGAAAGACCCTTGGCTAGTCGCCGCAGCCAAGCTTTGAACGAGCTTCCCACTGTTCACAACAAATATCGACAAAATTAATTTACCCATACCACAGAAAGATAATTAAACCAGGCATATATGTTTACATGTATAGAACAAGATACATAATTCTGAAACAGCTAGATATAATTCCTGCGAGACCATCTTATTTATCACCAAGGACAGGAGCTCATGCAAGTACATTATTTCTCATACTGCATCCAACTATGAATATTACAACCCCACCCCCACCCCCCACCCCCCCTCTCCCACACACACACACACACACACACTGTAAACCAAGAGCTCAGGTGGAAAATTTGGATTTGTACGTCGGAGGGATGTGCTGCCTGAAACACTAGAACTAGATTGATCGCATAGAAGATTAGAAATGAAGAAAGGTGCCGACAAAATTTCTACCCTCCATGGCAAAGTTCAACTCACAAAGCAGATTTTGCATTGGCAAAAACTCATAAAGGATGTTTAACGAAATTTATGCTAGCAAAAGGTATAGGTGCGCATCATCATTCCAATTCCGTAAAAAGCAGATTGGGTGAGATACAATCAAGTTATTCGTGAACTATTTGCAAATGGATTCAATAAAATACTGACTGACTACCTACAGAAGGCAAAATGTGGAAGAGGTACAAACCTATAAATTGCAAGGAGGGTTTCATGTATGGTTCCCGCCATTGAACCAACTATATATGGACAATATTTGACATTTGTAGCCACGGAAGCGTAGTTAAAAACTATATATGGAAATGGAGAAATCCTAAGTAAAGCAACTGCCCTAAATTGATGGAACCAATCTCCTTCACCAGCAAGTCTAACAAAAGCAGCTTTCTTCGGCCATTTTTCCAACCATCTCTGCATGACAACCATCAACCATTATTTCCATAAAATATGAAGACACAGACTGGTTTCATGTACTATCTGGATAAAACATAGCTGAAAAGATGGGACTGAGAGCCTCACGTGTATTCTGGAATGAAACGCAGATCCTATACAAAATGGTAATGACATGCCTATGCTCATCGCCGTTGTAATTATCATAAAGCCATAACCATATCCAAAGGTCATCCCCGCAATCCACATAAAGGGAGAAGAAGGTATCAAGACACTTGGGAATAAAGCGATTGCACCAAAACATATTAGAAGAATAACTGGTCGGCTGAAAGTTCTTGATTGCCAGTCAATAATCGGCACAACCACCTGTGAAGGACAGAAACATGCAAAACAATGTCAGCAACAAACCAAGAGCATACTAGCACAATATCTTAGAATCAAAAGCAGCTACAGAAAAACATGCAAGTGTGCAAGCAGTCTGTTTAAGAGGGCAACAAGATAATTCACTGAAATTCGCACAGGTAGCATAACTATGAGATGCTAATCAGTCTACAATTGCATGAGAATTCGTAATATTGAGGTTGATTCAGAGAAAAGTCATCAATAGGCAGTTGAGCATCCTTATGATCATGAACTAATTGGTGGGGGTGGGGGGCTTGCCACATAATTTATTTCAGGTAACACCAGCAAGCAGGATCCAAATGCAAGCACAGTCATACTTTATGTGCTCTATCCTTGCAACATTTTACGTTGTTCTGACCTAATCATATGAACTTTTGGAAGGGGTCAGCTGATGTAGTTAGAAATTATGGACAGAGATGTAAACATTTCCTCCATGATGTTGACGACAACCAAAATTATGTCGGAAAATACGAAGACAAATCACCTTTTAAGAAAAAGCAATTACACCAGCCAACTTCAAACCAGGTATGAGAGTATAAGCAAGACCCTACATCTGGTAGGAATCCTTCTCTCCTTTTTAAAGATTTTTTTCAGCACCTGACTGATTTACGAGGGGAGACACCTGTAATTCTGGGGATTTGATGGGGTATGATTTGAGTGTGCCTACTGCATTCTCACCACCTAACCGCTTGATATTTATCTGGTTTGGTTCTTCGATCCTCTCGCTTCTCTCCACCCGTCCGGTACTCTCACTAAAAACTCCCGTCAAATCCTAGCCGCTTCGCCGATGTACATTCCTATAAGAAGTTCCATAGCTGCGCCACTTCCTCCCGCACCACCGCCTGCTTCTTACCCAATTAAGACAGTACCTCACGTCTCCACCACTACCATCGGCATCCTTGCACCGTGCTGCAATGACCATCTTCAAGCCACTGCCCCTGAGATCCAGCGCGTCGTCGTCCAGTCATATATGTGCCCAAGCCCTGAAACCCCCTTGGCTACCAGGAAGTCCTCCCTGGCCATGGCCACCATCACCCTCTTGCAAGGGCAGCGCCACGAGCCACAGTGTCACCTCAGTGCATGCCGGGCAAATCCTTGGGTCGTCTACCTCGGCGTTAGGGTGTGCGCACATGAATCACCTCTCGCGGTGGACCCTGACCTACAACCCAGCGGCATGGCATTGGCTGCGTTACAGAAGTAGGGGTGCACTAGCAGCACGCCGCTTCTGGCCGCACATAGGGGCAGGAGCCCCTCGTCCACGGCGGGGAGGGTAACGTTGTTCGTGATGTTCACGCGCATGCTGTCGCTGGCAAGTAACAAATAGGACGTGGTCGAGCCACGGCTCGGGGCCTGCAGGGCTTGATATTGAGTGCTCAAGTGCCCCCACCAGTTGAGCTTCAGGTCCAACTGCAGGAAGTTTGGTTCAGTAATCAGCTTTGGTTCCAAGTTTCAGTACCTTTAGAAATATGTTTCGGTAATCAATTTTACTTTGCCGAGATGGTAGGGCTTGATCTTGAGTGCTCAAGTGCCCCACCAGTTGAGCTTCAGGTCCAACTCCAGGAAGTTTGATTCAGTAATCAGCTTCGGTTCCAAGTTTCAGTACCTTTAGAAATATTGTTTCGGTAATCAATTCTACTTTGCCGAGATGGTACCTTTGGACATAATTGTTACACAATTTATCCAATCCATAAAATCAGTTTTTAACAAATCTGCTTCATGTGATTCCTGGTGATGTTTCTCCGTATGACCCTTTCATTGTTTCAAGGTCAATTAATATCAAGTATACTGTATCTTTCTTAACATGGATTGTGTTATTCCCCTACACCCAGTACAGTTAGTGACATTTTTTTTAAAGTGAAAGAAATGTTCTTTTCATTGTAGCTCATGTTGATTTTCATATATAACAGTACTATTACTGATTTATGTTTTCGTTTCAAGGTCAAATTAATATCAAGTAGACTATCTGTCCAGTTATATTTCTTTACATTACGACGATGCTATTGTATCATCCACCCTTGTGTTATTTCCTTGTGCCCAGTACAATTAGGCACAATTTCTTGAAAATGATGTTTTCCTTATTGTAGCTCATGTTGATGGTATATACAGTCGAGTATAAGAGGTTGGAAATATTAATTATTTTGAAGATGTTTTTCCTTGCCATATTTCTCTGTAACAGGCTGTTTGATTTGAAGAACTTGCTTTCTTAGGATATATATTATAATAAAGCGGTGTCTTCTCCCTTAACAATAGAGGATATGTGTAACTAGCTTGATGTTTCACATATTTAAGAAGCAAAATTAGTTCCATGGTGTGAAAAATAGTTGATGAGTTCTGTATAGTCCAGGTTGCCTCTTCTACTTTGATTTCAAGAACTTGCTTTCTTAGGATATATATTATAATATGCGTAACTAGCTTGATGTTTCACATATTTAAGAAGCAAAATTAGTTTCATTGTGTGAAAAATAGTTGATGAGTTCTGTATAGTCCAGGTTGCCTCTTCTACTTCCATCTCTTGAAATTTTTTAAGCTAGGGACACCGATAACTGCCACACGTGTGGCACAATGGGCACCCGACCACACGACCCTGTGTGGCATACCCAGGAGACAGCCCACACGACCCTGTGTGGGCGCACAATAGAACTGCCCACACGTGCGGTCCCAGACCCTCCCACCCGAACGATTCAGTGTGAGCTGCTCCCCAGCCCGCACAGCGCACACCCCTCATACAGTACTCTGCACAAGCTTTTGCTGTGACTAAAAAAAGAAAAAGAAAAAGGCCCAGTTTGATCCAATTCATAATGTGACTAAAAAAACCCAGATTTGGCTGTGACTAAATAAAGCCCAGATATTGCCATTGTGATAAAAATGAAAAGTTCCCACAATGAAAAAAATTAGTGTAAAAATTATCATGCTACAAAAATAAAGAACCAATTTGAACAAAAAATGAAAAAATATCAAGGCAATTTGTACGTGAACATGGTGGCAAACCAAAAAAATTCCACAAAAATTGGAGAGATGGCAAACTATTTACTAAAAACAAAGCTATGATGGCAACTATTTAGTGAAAACAATTTGGCATGACAAAAGCATAAGTGGGAAACTCACATACATACAAAGTTGCCATACTACAACTTGCCATGCTACATAAATGTACATTTGTGGTGAGAGATGGAGGGGAAAATTTCCGTGTATGTGAAAATAAAATTGCCACGACGATGAATGTAAATTTGATGTGGCAATAAAAAACGTAGGTTTGCCATGGCAAAAATAAAGAAGTAAAAAATCGGCATGGCAAATCTATTGCATGCACTATACCATTTGCTGAACACATAATAACAAAAAAATGCAACATATTTGCCATGATCCATTTAACTAAATTTCCCATCATTTGAAAAAAAAACAATTACCATTGTTTGGGGAAAAATGCCATGAAATATGGCAAATCTATTCTATGTTACTAAATCTGCCATGCTTCGTGAAATAGAATTGCCATGGTGGAGGGGGAAATATTGCCATGTAGTATGGCAAGTTTGAACTCAGCAGTACAAAAAAAATTCATTTAACTACATTTGCCATGCTTCGTAAAAATAGAATTGCCATGTTCTAGGGGAAAAAGTGCCATATAGTATGGCAAATCTATTCATTTAACTAGATATGCTTTTTTTAACATTATCATTAAAAAAAGAAACTTCCCATGGGCAATATCAAGTGACATGGCAAAAATACACTAACCATTTTTGCCATAATAAAAAAATGTTGAAATTGTCCCAATTTTATTTTATTTTTTGCCATGGAAACTACTTGTATGGATTCTGCCCATGGCAACTACTTGCATGGATTCTGCCCATGGCAACTAGTACTACAGAAAAATTTGCCATGATCCATTTAAATAAATTTCCCATGGTTTGCAAAAAAAATTGCCATGGTTTGGGGAAAAATTTCCATCAAGTATGGCAAAATCTAGTTGAATTTACTAAATTTGGCATGCTTTGTGAAAAAAAATATGGCAAGGGGGAAACATGCCATGTTGTATGGCAAATCTATTTCAATTAACTCAATTTACCATGGTTCTTAGAAAATAAAACTTGCCATGGTGGATGGGAAAAAATTGCCATGTAGTATGGCAAATCTATTCCATTTTACTAAATTTGCCATACTTCATACAAAAAAAGCCGGATGGATGAAGTGGTGCCAAGCTTCTGGCATTCTCTGTGACAAGAGAGTGCCGCAAAAGCTAAAAGGTAAGTTCTACAGGACGGCGGTTTGACCAGCAATGTTGTATGGCGCTGAGTGTTGGCCGACTAAAAGGCGACATGTTCAACAGTTAGGTGTGGCGGAGATGCGTATGTTGAGATGGATGTGTGGCCACACGAGGAAGGATCGAGTCCGGAATAATGATATACGAGATAGAGTTGGGGTAGCACCAATTGAAGAGAAGCTTGTCCAACATCGTCTGAGATGGTTTGGGCATATTCAGCGCAGGCCTCCAGAAGCTCCAATGCATAGCGGACGGCTAAAGCGTGCGGAGAATGTCAAGAGAGGGCAGGGTAGACCGAATTTGACATGGGAGGAGTCCGTTAAGAGAGACCTGAAGGATTGGAGTATCACCAAAGAGGTAGCTATGGACAGGGGTGCATGGAAGCTTGCTATCCATGTGCCAGAGCCATGAGTTGGTTGCGAAATCTTATGGGTTTCACCTCTAGCCTACCCCAACTTGTTTGGGACTAAAGGCTTTGTTGTTGTTGTTGTTGTTCATACAAAAAAAATT